ATTGGTGTTGTTTGTTCTTCACATTCATCACACCCTCTCCTGTTGCACCGGCACTCAAAACAGTGTGATTTTATTTATAATAAGAATGAATGGTATCTTCAACTCGTTCACCTCATTAGAAACAGCCTTTAGTCGCTAATCAAAATGTACTACCATCAGCAAATAGCGTATATATATATCGAGTGCAATGACTCTACACTGCAAGTTCGAAGAAACAGTATTTTACTACTCGCTGCCCAAATTCGACAACAACTACTGTCTTGCCAACACCGGGCTCACTAATCAAGATGGGGTGTTATTTGTGACTAAATTGAATGTTTTGTCATTGAATAAGCAACTTGTCCTTGAAAAAATCACAGCCCAACAAACCTAAGTTAAAAAGAAAAAAACGTTCAGATAAACTCCAAAAAGTGATGGTAAACGAAATAGTATTTGGTAATTTTAAAAACAAGTTGAGAAGTTTGTTAATTTGTTGACTGCTCAAAAAGATGGTTTACAGAAAAAAACTTGAGAAGGAAAGAACAATGAAATATGAGGTAAAGAAACTCAATGACTAAGAGCTATAGTTACAGATTCAAAAGCTAAATTGATTACAACAAATTCAATTGATATTTCAAAAGATTTATTTTCTGTGTTTTGTCGATGCATGTCAAGTAGTTTGTGATACCAAATTTTTGATTGAAGTGACTACATGTCAAAAACAATAAAAAGCAATAAAAAAGCAAAGAAGTTGATTTTTTTAAAAGGGGGCGTTTAAATGTTATTAATATTTTCAAGTTTTTACATTTATTATTTATTTAAATATGTTTCAATGTATTAACTGTCAAAAAACAAATCACAAGGTATTGGCGGGTTTGGTTAGTGTAATTATTATTTGATTGTTTTAAAAATTTTAAAAACATTGAGGGTTTTTAGAGTATTGATGTTTATTAATACCATCATTAAGTTATCCAGTTTGAGTGTTTATTGTTTGTGTTATGTGTGTAACATTTAGTAATAACTGTTGTATTTTGTTTTAAATTTGTCTTGAAACTTCAATCTTTTCATTTTTAATTTTAAACAAAGTTTTAAAATGAAAAGATAACTAAACCAACTGTTATTAATTGTATTGGTTTTGGATTTATGTTAATGATTAATTTTCATGGTCTTTCAATTTATGTTGAGTTATTTATGGTAAATTGTAATTCAATATCATATTCAAACAGTTGGCATGATTGTATAAACTTTTATTTATCATTCTTCAAACAGTTGTTCGAAGAGTGATCTATGTCCTACCAGTTTGCAACTCATTTCTAACAACAAAACTATCAATCAAAAGTTCATTATTTTAAATATTTTAAGTATTGTGAGAAATGTCAACTTCGTATATTTTAGTTATTATATACAAAACTAGTTAACACAACAGTGTTCAAAAATATAAAATTCATCATTTTTGATTCTAACCAACCATTTTCAATCGTATTTGATGAAATTGGTATAAATTTCAATTGTCAAAAAGTACAATTTTTGTTTTTGAACAAAGTTCATATTTAACGTATAAATTGTATATTTATTGTTATTATTTTAAAAATCTCACGTAGACTCGTGCATGTATTTCACAGGTCTTAATAATAAAAAATATTTGGTCTGGTTTTGATTGAATAATAATATTTTATTAATTGTCATTTCAATAATATTTTGGTAAAGAACAATAGTTATATTGAATTGTTTTAAAACAAACACAATTAATATCATTCAATCTGAATTGTTTTTTTCTAAAAGATTTTAAATCTTTAAATAATGTATTATATAAAATTTGTTAATTTTTTTTGTTTAAAAATAGTATATTTTACGATATTTCCTTAATAGTTAGTTATATTGAATGATTTTGATTAAATAATTTATTAAAAATGTTTACAAAAAGAATTTTTTAATATTTAAACAATGAAAAACTGAGAATATCAAAATGCGTGGACTTTCTGGTTATCACATCATGATAGTCTCGAAGTACTTCGACGACTTTAGAGACTTTATTAACTTGGAGTTGGTATGCAAGAAATTTAGAGGGAATATGGAGAAGTTTCACTTCAACCCGATTTCGTTAAATTCCAAAACACTTGGATACTTCCCAAACATTGAGACACTTCATTTGTGGGATGAAGAAGATGAGAATTTCGGCAATGGATTTATGATGAACACAAAAGAAAAAGTAGAGTGTGAAAAGAAAGGTGTTTTAAAAAGAGAATTCTTTCAAATCATTGTGTGGTTCAATGTTGACTTTGAAACTGTTGACAGAAACAAAAGTCGAGACATTGAGTTTAAAAATGTTACTTACACTAAAAATGATAGAAAGAAATTTGGTAATGACATACCATCAAGTGTTACATCTATTGGTAACGATTGTTTCAGTTATTGCAGTAATTTGACAAGTGTTTTAATACCATCAAGTGTGACATCAATTGCTTCATGGTGTTTCAATGGATGCAGTAATTTGAGCAGTATTACAATACCATCAAGTGTAAAATCAATTGGTTATTATTGTTTCAATGGATGCATTAGTTTGAGTAGTGTTACAATACCAACAAGTGTGACATCAATTAGTGATTTTTGTTTCGGTGAATGCAATAGTCTAAGTAGTGTTACAATACCACCAAGTATTACATCAATAAATAAAAGTTGTTTCAGTGGATGCAGTAGTTTAAGCAGTATTACTATACCATCAAGTGTGACATCAATTGGTGATCGTTGTTTCTCTGAATGCTATAGTTTGACAAGTGTTACAATACCACCAAGTGTTATATCAATTGGTTATTGTTGTTTCAATGGGTGCAAAAAATTTAAGTAGTGTTACAATACCATCAA